CTAATGATACAGACAAGGAAATATAACTGGAAAGATTACTGGTCAACAGATCCTCTTTTGATTAGCCCAATATTTTTGCAGACAATAAACTGAAACAGATTTGAACAAATTTCAACATTTTGGGATTTCGGTGATAATCAGAAAATGAACGAGTCTTCAGGCAGGCTCTTCAAAATTCAACCAGTAATGGATAATTTCCTCAATAAATTCAGGACACTATACAAACCAAAGCAACATTGGTCATTGGTCTAAGATTCCAAACATACAACCTTGCAAAAACAGTAAAAATATATCCTGCTGGTGAGAATGGTGTGTGAGAGTGACACAGGTTATATTTGCAACATGGAGATTTATACTGATGAGAGGAAAAAAAATGGGATGAAACTATTCATTCAGTTCTTGCTTCCAATCATGGATTGTGGCACCAACGTATACCACGCAAACTTGTTCCTAGAACATAAAACAAGTGTCTACAGAACAATAAGAGTGAATAGAGGGTTGCTGCCAAGCCGAAGGCTGAAGTTTCAACAACGAAAAAAGGTAAAATAGCTTTCCGTAGAAAAGTTGATGTTCTCATTTTCATATGGAAAGACAAGAGAAGCAAGAACGGTTTCAACCATCCATGATTCATCTCTTTCTACTGCAGGAAAGAAAAAATAGAATAACTGGAGAAGAAATAAAAAACTGTGTTCTCCAATACAATGTCCACATGAAAGGTGTCGATCGTGCAAATCAATACCTCTCATACTACACCATTCTCAGATAAAAATTGAAATAGACAAAACAGGTAGCACTTTATCTAATAAATTGCAGCCTTTTCAATTCATGTAATTTACAAAGCCCTGAATCAACAAACAAATATAATATAAGCAGTTCCTCCTCTCTGTGGCAAGAGGATGGATTACTGACAAAGAGAAAGGAGGTTCACTGGAACTAGAGAGGAACGAACCCAGTCCATCATCTGAAGGTACAAGGAGAAGATCCCCCAGGAAGACTGTCTGGTGACATGAAACAGCATATTTCTGTGTTATTTTCATCTACAGGAAAAAAAGTTTCCTACTAGAGCCTGCAGAGTTTGTACTGCCATGGGAAAAGAAGTGAAATATGATACATTTGCAAGTTTTGTGCAGTTCCACTCCATATAGAAAAATGTTTTACAAGATACCACACATTGAAAATTTACTAGGTGACGTCATGTACGTACTTTAAGTTTCAAAATATAATAAAAAAATATAGTTGAGTTATGAACAAAATAAAACACATCCGACTCCTTTCAAACTCATCATTTTAACAAATGGCACACAAAGACGTTCTGCATGAAACACGAGTAAACGCATATTCCATCTGTAATGCATTAAGTAACTTTTTTTAATACCCATATCAGCTGTTGATCAAACACTTCAACTATAAACATGGTGGTTTAAATCTTTACTACTGCAGTTTTGACTTAAATATGCATAATCATTTGTTTGAGACACACAGTGTTAGTGCTCTTCAAAGTTCATTATAACATTTAGAATATTTGATTTATTATCATTGTTAATATTGAATGTTTTCTTCTTATATTGGGCCCGGCATGGCCAGGTGGTTAGGGTGCTCGACTCACAATCTGTGGGTCACAGATTCAAATCCCCATCACACAAAACATGCTCATCCCTTCAGCCGTGGGGGCATTATAATGTGATGGTCAATCCCACTATCCATTGGTAAAAGAGTAGCCCAAGAGTTGGTGGTGGGTGGTGATGATTAGTTGCCTTCCCTCTAGTCTTACACTGCTAAATTAGGGACGGCTAGCGCAGATAGCCCTCGTGTAGCTTTGCGCAAAATCCGTAACAAACAAACAATCTTCTTATATTTTTAAGTAATTTTTGATTAAATATGACTGAAAATAAAAACTCAAGATTATACAGTGTTCATTATTTTATCATTTAGTTCAAAGAACCTTGTTTTGCATTGTGCATGGGACAAGTTCCAGAACTGATATAATCCATGCCTCACCACTCAGTTTTTACTTTCATTCAAATCATGAATTTAAGTTAAGAAACATAGTATTGAGACATAAAATCCAGATTTATTAAACATGATATACATTAATTTGAAATCATTAATCAAATTTAGTTTTCAAAATTTATTTACAAAATTTATTTTTTTATGAAAAAATAGATTTACAAAGCAAGTTACAAATCAAACTGGATACAATTTTAAATTTGAATTAGGCAGTTTTTCTGATAAGATACATAAGTTATTATCATCTTTGAACAAGATGTAGTCCAGATCTATATCTATTTGTGATCAATGTGCAAGTGCTTCACTCATGCATGTGAACAGTTCAAGTAATGAGGTCATTGTTTTTTAAAACTAGAGAATAATGTATTCACTGCCATTTGGGTTGAAATGCAATAAAATGAGCAAAAATCACACACGCATCAACTTCTTGTCTAAAAACTTGAAAATAAATGAATCACTGGCATAGTTTGTAGAGTGTGTGTGACAGTTATATGATTCAAGACAATTTAATTTTGACTACTATCATATTCAAGCCAAAAAGTCATGTAGTTACTTAAAATCATGTTTACATGATGTAATGTTTATCTTGGCACAGTGGTGAGATTCCATTAATTTTGTGCAAACAAGTGGGACGTAAGTATTGAAACACAACTTCTGAAAGGTGGACATAAATATTTTGGAATGTGCGTTTTGGAATGCATGGGCGAAAAGTTAGCACAACCACTATGTATAACAAAATATAAAAATACACAGAATTATACAATATTTTATATAGTAAAGTAAATACTGATAAAGTTGTAGGTTAAAAATTATTAAAAGTTAAGACAGAAAATTGCATGAATGTATGGCAACAAACAGTCTGCTGTGCCATTAAAAACTTTAGCCCACTAATATATATCTCTGTAGTAAGTAAAGGTTCAGTAGCAAATGATTAATATCAGATGATGCACTTTCTACTTATCTCGGGGATTAGCTCACAGATTTTTGTTCTTTCAGTGGTAAAAATAAAATGTCTGATGTAATGTTATACACATTTAGGAAAGCAATAAAGATTAATATTCAATGTTGATTAGTGTTGAATTAACATGCTTGCCTAATGATAGTTTCACATTGTTATTTGTTATACCTCTTGTTGATAGTTTTCAAATGTGTGTGTGTGTGTGTGTGTGTGTGTGTGACACCAGTGTTTGTGTTTATTAATCAGTAAAGACACAAGTTAAAATAACTAAACTTGTAAACCTATAGGAACTGGTGCATGGCGAATGTAATAAAATATAAAGTAAACAATGTAAATTCATATAGGTTGTCCTTTTTTTTTCCCTTATATCTTTGTTATATTTTTCTAATCTAATGTTACCATGCAAAGGCTCGGTGCCCACAAAATTTCACCCCTTTAGATTTTAGATGAAATACACAATTTTCTTAATAGACAATATTACATATTACTAATGCGTGGTTTCCTGTTGATATAAACTTCTAGACATTATAGTTCTGGTTGTCACAGCAATTTGATATCTTGTTGATTTTAGTGGATTTATTTTTATTTGGAATTAAGATGGTTGTTAAGGAGTTGATTTCTAGTTTTGATCCATGTTTGAAACTAATGTAAAAAGTCTGAGTAGTCATTCATTTTGAGTATAATTGTGAAATTACTAATGATATGTTCCTGTGTTCTGAGGAAGTGCAGACATGATTAATGTTATGAAGTTTTATGAAAAATTAAAACTTGCTTTATTCGTGATGGGTGATAAGATTTCCAATCCAAACATGTTGGTTTTGCAGTACATTTAATGTGCAGGTTGGGTATAATTTTACCATATTTTAGATGAATAGTTTAGTTTAGCATCCAGGAAAGGTGGACATCCTTTATTATTGGAGTGAAAGTACAGAATTCAAACAAGGACTTTAATCCATTTCATAGAGATGTATTCTGTGTACCTGTGCCACAGTTCATGTAGATTTTCATTCTAAAGTCATTTTAATATCTTTTTAGGTAATACAAGAAAATAAGATCACTATTGTATAGTTCCTTTAATAAACTTATAAGCTATTATTAAATTAGGTGGAGACCATCTTTAGGTATACAAAGAAAAAACTGACACCTTCATAATTTTAAACAAGTCGTCATTAAAGTTTTTATTTCATTGCATTCAGTAATATAATGGCCAAAAGCTGTACAATCTCAAAACTAAATAGTATTGTGTGGGAAATAATTTTTTAGTTTATAGTCTTATAGTTTTCATTGGAAAATGCTTCTTACTTTTGGCATGGGCATCTGCTTTTATTAGTAGTAGGTGTAGTAATTTCTCCAAGTTCTTTAGTAGCATAGATAAATTTCTTCCACTGTATTTGACTGAAGTTTCTCCTATTTTTAGTACCAGGTACAAGTTTAGTTTACTTTGCTTATTATCAAGTTTCCTATTTTGTTTAATACCAGGTAAGTTGTTAGCTAGAGTGTGCATGATGTTAAGATCAAGAAACTATCTAATACCCAGATAGGGATATATTGTTTATAAATACAAAATATAAATAAGTAAATGAAAATTCGGTTAAGTATTTGTGAACTTATTGAGTAATGATAAAGAATTCATTGGAGTATTCAAAGTGGAGGAATCATGTACTTGATAGAAAGAAGATTGATTGTGTAAATATATTAGGTAAAGATTAATGCTTCTGTAAGCTATTTGGTAAATTAAGTTTATTAGCCACTGGACTCTGTTACCAACAAGAAACGATTGCCCTCAGTGGTGTGAAGAGTGTAGACATTGGATTAATTAGGACTGGTGGAAGATGATGCCATCCAATGAATCACACTTCTCTGTTTTTTGAGCATGTGAAAGCCACAAGAATAATTTTCCCCTTTTTGTGGTCCCAATTGTCCAGGCTTCTGGTATAGTAATCATGGTTTGGAAAATATTTTATTCATATACCCTAGGCACCTTGGTTCTTTTAGAAGACAGACTGAGTACCACAGCTTATCTCAGCATCATTTGTGATCAAATGCATCCAGAAATGCTTCTTGAATATTCTGATTAGGACAGCTACTTCAAAGTTGACAATATTTCCATTCACAATGTTCAAATTGTGCATGGTTTGAGGAACATGATGGAGACTATAAGCATATCTCATGGCCACCGTGGTCTCCGGAACTCAATCCAATCTGATCATCTGTGGAATAAACTTTCCACCATTTTGTGAATTTTGTGCCATGTCATATCATGGCTGTAATTTGAGGAAAAGGTTGACCAACTGATTAGATATAGTTTCTAATAAAGTGGCCAGACCTTGTAGAATGCCAAATTAGAGAAAAGGCAATATACTAGAAAATACAATTTGATTGTTTTTTATATATATACTAAATTTTTCTTTTTCCAGGAACAGTTTAGGTATGCCATTACTTAATATTAATGGAGAAGATGTGTATACAATTTTCATCACAATGTGCTTGAGAAAATGTATATAAGGCACTTACACAATGCTTTAACTACAGTTCATGAAACAAATCTATCTATCTCGGTCCTAAGTGACAAGAGTATCGGAACTTGGAATTGTGCTGTATTCATGATCTGGTAGACCATTTATTGTGGAGCCAAGATTGTATTTTCATGAGAACTTCTTAAATACTTGAGCATACAGCAATGCCAGCTCCCTTGCCATACAAATAGAGGGCATGCAACAACTGAAGTGTCTGTTTAGTATATCTGTGATCATTAGTATGATGTCAGCAAAAGTAAGAACTTGGGAATTAGAATACTGTTAGTGAATTGTTGAAATGATCTTTAACTTCTGTACTATGTAGATATGTAATTGACTTGTTCAAAAGTAAAAATTGACTGTCACCCAAATGACTGACTTAAGTAAGTTATGATTTTTCGTTTTCTTTCTTTTTGTTCCCCCCTGATTTCTACCTTAATGTTAAAATAATGACCAAAGGAATATGCATAGCACTCAGAGATTTACTATATATTTACTTTTTTGCTTTAGATAGATCTAATATTCAACAGCATATTTCATATAAAGTATTGAAGCATTCAGAAACTATGTAGTAACATATTAACTGAAATGTTAACAAGTAAATATTCAGTCAGATAATAAAAGTAATTTGCGGGATTAAAGCTTGTATCGGTGATGATAATTACTTGAAAGACAATAAATTAGTTCAATTTTACATTTTAATTTCAACAATATTCTACAGGATTGTTTTCTGCTAGGAGTCACTTTGTAAATAATGTTCTTACAAAAATTCTAAAACTAAAAATAAAATTCAAGTAATTTACTTTCAAAATCTCCTCTTGTATCTCCAACATAACTTAGAACTGGCTAACTAACACACCTAGTAATTGATCAATAACATAATAACAGATTCACTAATTAACTTACTTGCTGACTTAATTAATACTCTTTAACTTGCTCAGTGGCTAAAACTAACTTACTTGCTCTAGTGTTTTTACTTGTTTTCTCCACATCTTTCGAAGATTCTAAACATCATGAAACAAATAATTCCTCAATCATCCCAAACACCTAATCAAAATAGTAAAAACATAGCTTACAACAATATTACTTGTCTTGAACTGTCATCTCAAAGAGCTTGTAAACTTTGTGGTTAATTAAAACTTCCTAATTGTCTAATTTTTCCTTGTCTGATATCTAGAACCAAAAAATTATGTTTAATTAAAATATTCTGGAACTAATTTCTTTTTGTGAGAAGTCTTTTCAATAACCTTGTAATGTTGCATATTTAATAAATGTAATTAATGAACATGCATAGTCTGGATACTGCATTTCCCACATCTTATTTCGTTGTGAACACCTTTGTTGATGTTGATTATGCAAAATAAAAACCCATGTTGTCATTGTTTGTGGATGTTTAGAAATTGGTGTTAATTTGACAATCGTCATTTTTCAAATCATGCTTGTGATTGTACAACTTGTGAAAATAATTGAGCATGTCTCCCTGTATGAAGTACAGTTTGTTCCTGTTAAGTTGTGACTTGTCGATCAGGTTTCAAAATAGGTGTTTGGCAAGCAAATTACAGGGTATTTGAATATTCAAATATAATAAACACCAGTAAGTGAATTGTTTCAAGTGTGTGGCTAGACATTATCACTTGATGGTACTGTAATGCTGGTGGTTTACAGTCGGAACGAATGGGAGACAACAAGCAATCGTAACACCAAAGAAAACCCCATTGTCCCAGTTTCCATTGTGTCGCAGTGATGATCAAGTCTACTGCCAAGATGGTACTTGCATTGACAGAGATCGTCTGTGTGACGGTCATCAAGACTGCCCTCATGGTGATGATGAGGACAATTGTGGTATGTTTAGGTTAACTTAAACTTTTATTGGTAATTCCCTGGCATGTATTAATGTTTAGTTTTGTGTAGCTTAAAACTTGATAAAATGGATGTTTCCAAGGGTTGAAATGATCTAGTGTATGTTTGGTTTGGGGCTTATGGTAAACAACTTATTGTATTAAATTTTCATATAGCCAGTGTTATACAAGTGTATGACAGGAACGTCTGTTGAGATTGATCTTGATCATGTATATTATTGGAATTTGTTTAAATCTACAAGATTACCATATGTTGTGTACAACTTCAGGAAAAATCATTTTTCAGTACAACTAAGACTTTTGCAAGTAGTAGTTTGCTTTTTTTTTTTAAGTGCTCAGTTTTAAGTGTTTGTTCTATTCATAGCTTTTGAGCAGTACTGAATAGTACTGAAGAAACTATCTCATCTCTGTGATGATATCCTTTTGATCCTCGCAGTGCTACAAGAGCAGTAGCATTGGTGTTGTGGAACAGAAGTGAAAATTGTTAATATTCTGTTTATTATAGTAACATGCTTTTCTTTACCTCACAATACCCTACTCCATGAAGATTAACATCATGAAATATCTGTATAGGAATGCTGGACTGCTGATATCTTAATCACTACATATCAAAACAGCAATTCATTTGTAGGAAAAAGGTTAACAAACTACTACTGCTATAGGAACCAAAATCACAATGTAAGAAGTACTTTTTCATTAACCAAAACTATCAAGTAGTAGTAGTACTAACTGCAGGAGTATAAATATCAGTGACTAAAAAGTAAATATGTCGCATATGTGTTGAGCATACTAGTAACAAAATCAACTGAAGTTAACCTGAGGTTCACTTACTACACATTTTCTAAACTTGGATAAGCATCCGTTCATAAAAATTAAAATATTTTGTGGCAATTTCTGTGATATCATCACGAGAAAAAAATATTGTGTACAACAATATGCTTAGAAGTATGTTATGCAATGTTTATTTTCATTTTACTTGAATATGTAATAACATGGGATTTGGGAATAGTTGTATTCGGACTTTTCTTTAATTTACCGCAATCAAAAGTTGAAGGAAAATGTGATGTAATATTATTAAATCTGTAACTTGATACATATGTGACAGTGCTATGCAGCCAATCAATAGACTGTGGAAATGGGTGAATTTTTACTGTTTGTAGAATAATTTGACTTCTGTTTGAAAAGTAAGATCATTTGAAACTTAGAAATAATTTAGATAAGTAAGTGGAATTGTATGAAAATATATTTATTTAAAATGAAAAAAATAAATGTTTGATATAATGTTAAGCTTGTATAAATGTATAGAAGATTGGTAATAAGAGTTTGTTTTTTTTATCATTTTTCTCTTTCAGTTTATTACTTAGAAGGTCTTTTGGTTTATTTGTATTTAGCTGCCTTTGTTTACATTGATTTCATGTTTAGTCACCAGTATGTGATCTTTGTGTGCTGATAATCAGTATCTGTTCCAGCTATGTGGAGGAAGAGAATATGTCTGCATTTTATCTTAAATGCATCAGATGTTGCTAGTAGTACAAGATTGTTCTGACAGTTTTATATATATGCAGGATTTTGCATAACACCTAGTTAGAAATTAATAATAATAAAAAAAATGTAGGTTCATTTCTTTCTAACTACCACTGTTTTTTTCTTATTATGGAGATAATACCTTTTCTGCCTATAGGTGGTATTGTTAAAGTAATACATATTGTGAAGAAGGTTGACAGCAGTGCTTATCAGTGGTAGTTAGGTGATACCTCAAGGTTACAGGCTTACCTATGTTTAATTGGGAATAACCAGTCACATGGGTGATGCTAGTTGCTCTGGGTAAGGAATGTTTGATTTACAATCTGGTACACAATCTTGAAGAGTAAGCAGTTTTAAAGAAGGTATAATAAATGCAGCTGTCCTGTGGCAGTACCAATACTTTATGAATCAGTAGAGATTTTTCATTTTGTGTATTAAATTGCACCAATCTTTTTCTCACTCAGTTATTGAGAGATTTAACATTATTCCGTTATAAATATTTTGATCATATATGCAGACCTAGCCCATTGTTCTTAAGTAAATTTAGTTTTAACTGGATTATGCCACAGAATGGATAGAAAAAAGAAAATTTTGGTGCTGTGACTGTATGATTTGTTATTATGGAGTTTGTTTCTGCTGAAGTTTATTCTGTACTTTACTTTGAACTCTTGTACTATAAGTTTAAAATGTCATTTTCTGCAACTAGAAGGATTTAGAACGAAGAAGGAGAGTCGGTTACTGAAGGGGGGGAGAGAATTTCCAAATCTATTAGTCCTCTTTTGGTCAACCAACTTTCATAGATGCCGAGAAAGTCCAGGATGTCTATCTTATTACACCTGACAACTTTGGGAGAAGACACATTGGTGTATGGTGCATCCAGAACAGCAGCACAAGTTTTTATTTTTCCTGGGGACTGACTTCACTGCATGGGAAACTGGATGACTGAGGATTGTTGTAGTGGTATGACATCTGGCAAGTCTGAGACTGGCTAGAGCAGTTTTTATAGGATTCTCAGATTTATGCCAGCCAGAGTAACCCTACTCCAGCTTTGGCCAAGGTCAGCTGAGAACATTGGAGAGAGATTGGAGGTGCTTTTGGTGAATAACTGTTGCCAACATGAACTTTCTCACCAGTAGGTGAGAATGTGGCAATGGTATGGCAAAGTGAATTAACCATGGGAAAGAGGTGAGCTTCTCCAAGTGGGGAGGTATACTGCCAAAACAACCATGTACCAATGAGGAGCCTGGGGTCTTGCTGAGCCAATGGACAATCTACAGTGTGCACCTCATTATTTTGCCACCCAAGAGTAGAGGCCTGTTGCTCATCAGAGCATCAGGGTGACTGAGAGTACTAAAACACTGGTCAAGTGATGACCAGGAAGTCATGAATGAAAGGGTATGGCCACAACCATGACTCTCCATGAGCTTGGCAAAGCAGATTACTCTGCCACCATTCAAGGATACAGTGAAGCATTTTAGACAGTTAACTGCTTGGAATAGCTGAACTTCTGAATGTGTTGTCACTCCTTTTCTGCCTTTGTATGGTCTAGCCCCAGACTCCACCAAGTATGTGGAGCAACTATGGACTACGAGACAGTCATTACTGAGTTACATTGAAAGTTTGATCCAATGGTAAATGGAGTAATCCATTGAACTGAGTTGAAGACTTAGAAGAGAAGTACCACAAAGAGCTTGACCATTTATGTGGATGATCTGTGCCATGAAATGCTCACCCTCCAGTATCCTCAGAAAATAATGAAAATATCCTTGTTGACAAGTTTGTGGAAGGACCACCCAATGAACTGATGTGACATCACATAGGAGTAAGAGATCTTCTCACATTTACTGAAGGAGTTTCTGTCATGATGCAGTATGAAGTAGTAACTTCAAACCTGTCACAAGAGAGGAAAAAGCCTATAGCAACAGCTGCAGTGACTTTGGCTCAGACAGTCCTACCTGGAACCCATGTCATTCCAGTTTCAAGCCCATCTGAGGGTCAACTACCACACATCTTAGACTTGCCATGCAACCACACTGGTATCCAGTGAATGAGCAGGGCTTTCCTGTATCACCAATGTCTCTGCCAGGACATTATCCAGGAAGGGAGAAACAGTATCTGCTTTGCCTGTGGAATGTTGGGTCCATTTTGTGTAAACTGCCAATACCCTGCTGAGCAGCAAGGTAGAAAAGGTTATTGATTTTAACTAATGTAGAAGAGCCAACAGCACACAGTAAATACTGCTGCTAGAGCTGCAGGAAACTAGTGTCCTACCTTAGGGGGGGGTGTAAAAAAAAACATTTTCATCAAAAGTAAAAATTTGATCGTCTGCCCAGATAGTTGAGAGTTGGGTATTTCTCTCTTGAGAGATATAATTCCTGGTTGATGACAGGGGTGACAGAATATTGGGAGATCTCATGGTTTATCAGGTCATGCCCAGTGGCTTAGCAGTTGATCTTATAATGCTAGAAATTGGATTTTGATACCTGTAGTGGGCACAGCACAGATTGCCCATTGTGTAGCTTTGTGCTTAATGGTTAACAAACAATTTATGAGGTACTCTAAACAAAATCATCACTCAGGCTAGCCAACTCTCACTTTGTTCTGGTGAAGGGTGATAAACTAGATATTAATTGAGAGGTCATGCTCAGAGTATGTCTAGGTGGCTTTGCTTACAGAATAAATGTAGTTGTTGCCAACCTCATTCCAAGCATCAGCATTCTTGGAATGGATATACTTTGGAGCTTATCAGCCATTTTTGCCTGTTCAACCAGTGAACTGATGTTCCACATTAGAATTATCAAATGTTAGCCAGATGTTAGATTGACCCCAGGAATGGGGGGCTGCGTTAAAAGGAGAGGAATTCATATACCCCCCTATGGACTAATTATACAGCAGTAAGGCCATGTAATGGGGTTAAAGACTCCGTGCATTAAACAGGCTGTTTCCTATCCAGAAAGCAAGTAGCATTAGGTGGGGCAGTTTTCTGTACAAGAAGAAATGAAGTCCCATTGTTGTTTTACAGTTATGGATGATGGTTATCCAGCTTCACAATGGGATGGTCATCAGCATGGAGAGTGAAGTGGAAGTAACTGATACTAGTGGTAACATTGTGGTTGCATCCTTCATGCTGTCTGAAAGTGAATATATGGTTACCAACATATATGACATTGGTATTTGGGGATTGTACAGACAATCTAGACTCAATGTAGTGGCAAAACTTTGTTGCTTGTTGGCAGATGTATTTATAGGACTGGATGGCCTGTTGGGTCGGGTAAAAGTTTCACAACATCACATATATACAAGTGACACGTGTACAATGAAACAGTCATCATCATTACAGGCTTCTATGAAGAAATATGGGTTAACAATGCTGAAGTAGAACTGGCATTTGGTTACTGGCAGTCGAGCTGCATAACGAGAGCAGGCCTAAATCTGTTTTCAGCAGGAAAGATGGCTTGTATGAGTTTTGCAGTTTGACATTCAATTACTGTAATGTGCTACCACCTTTGAGAGGCTAATGGAGCTACACTGAAGGGGTTTCTTGATCTGTGTTGATGTCTTAGAGTTTTTAACATGTTGAGTTTTACAACTGAAAACCTTCAACTTCTATTCCAATAGGTAAAGAAGACAGGCTTGAAACTGTACAGAAGTGGACTTTTTCTGTCATAAAGAAGAAATCTCCACAGATCTTGTTAAAACAGCAGTAATGTGAGATTGGCCTCAATCTTGGGACCAAATGGGAAGACTAGTTTTTTTAGTTTTACATCATATTACCAATGATAATTTGTAGCCAAATTCCCCATGATTGTCTCACCATTATTGGGTCAAATAAAGTGGAGATGTACTTCAGATGGAGTGAGAAATGGAAACAAGAATTCTACCTCCTGAAGTGTACTTGCTATAAACACTAATGTCAATGATAGTGGAATCAGAGCAATGGTATTGCAGTTGCAGGACAGAGTAATTACATATACTAGTCATTTGCTCATGAATGTGGATACTGTAATTTTAAATGTGGAGTGGTTAATACCTGTATTAATTTTACACACACACAAAAGTTTGCTCATTAACAGCTAGAAAAGGCTACTATGTGACAGAATAAGTGCTATGATAAGACATTTAATCCTATAGGACAACTCCATTTTTTTAAAACCCCTTTCTGTGCATGTTTCTGCATTACATTCAAGATGTAATTAAACCACTCTACTAATACAGGTGAACTATTCAGAGACCAAGCACAAATAACTACTTTAAATAACGAATTTTTAATAGAAATAACAGAAAAAAATCAAAATAAACATTTTATTTTTCTGAAACTTTTAGGAAATTATCTTGAAATTTCAAACAATTTTCTCCACTACTTTGATTTTTGGAAAGACATTTCACAAGAGTTACATAAACTTCATGGTACAATTTGCATATGCCATTCTAACGGCATTAAGAAATGAATGAACCAAATTGGAGACAGGATGTAGCTTTAGTATGGCAGAGGCATGGAAGTCTCGTGACTCTGGCTAGACAGGACTGATTTTGTTCTCTACATAAGTCACAGCTGTCAAGATGTGAACAAAAGCATGTAATACACATCGATCTGCGGCATCTGAGTGATGAACTTCTGCATAACTGGCTTGACCAGGAGTCAAAAAAGGAGGTAGTTGTTTCAGATTAGGATGACAACTCTGGTTTAATCCATCCTGATTCTGAAAGCGAGGAGGAACATGCTGAGAGTACGTTTCTGTCTGTTGAGGATGAATTTTGAGAGAACACCAGATCTAGAGATGAGCTAAAGATGGGACCCAACTGATATAGCTGGGACTAAATGTAATCACCAAGAGCAAGACTAGTCACTGATTATAGGTTCACTGACTGAAAGTGGTAAACCTTGCTTTACAAGCTATCATGTGATATTCATTATTCAATGTATGCATTACATTGTTTTTGATTTCACAAAGCTAGGACTACTGGTGCCAGTTGATGTAATGCCAAATACATCTCCATTTGAATGGGTGTTGCAATTCTTGCTTTCTGAGCTAACAGATGGTATTGTAAGCTACAGGTATGTCCTACGTTGTATAATTACCAATTGATTGTTTGAAGTAGAATAGTTTGTTGATTTCATGAATGATGGAATCAAAGGCTTTATAGCCCTCACTTTTCATGTTATTGAGCAGCTTTGCTGTAAGATATATCCATAGATTGTCAGACAGTAATGGCTCAATTAACACAGTTAGAATAACTGGTGTCAGTAAATGCAATATTAAATTTTTACATATAGGAAAACAATGCATTTTAACGTTCATTAATATTGATACCTCTCCATACCACATTTGGCTTGCTATGAACTGCTTGTACTCAACAGTGGTGCACTGAGCCTTTCACTCTACATGTGTTGATTATTGATAGAAACATGAAACCAAGACTCATCTGTTGGGCTTGACCAAGTCCAAATGACATCTTTGGGTCTGAAGCAGGTTTTCTTTACTGTAAGCCAGCCTCATGAAATCTTCCTTACTGTGTGGTCTCTTCAGTTGCTTTACTGAAATCCACCTTGAGTCCATCATCAGTGGATTGACAGTTCTTGTTTGCTGTGATGTACAATTGTCATTCACTCGTTATGAGATATTTGGCTTTGTTATCATGGTACATTCTTTTTCATGTTGTATCAATTTTAATATCATCAACGTCCTATATTTAGATGTAATAATGGATAATTGCATAATTTTACTCTTTTTCTCCCTAACACTTGATTCATGGAAAGGTACTTTTATTCTCTAAGTATTTGTCATAATTTTCATGAATTAGGCCAAAAAAAAACATTTTATTTTGGCCAGCACATAACCTGGACTTCAGTGCTTTTACCAACTGACCATTAGTCATAATGTAGTCAAATTTCTATTATGTATATCACAATATAATCTCATCAAAACCAGAAAGATAACAGAATCTTGTATCTCCCGTACTTTTGAAACCACATAACACCTGCCTAGTCATGGTTTAATTCACCACCTTCTCAGTGAGACAGACTCTATAAGTTGATCATTTGAATTCTGTTAGTCTCAGTACTGGTTTAACCAAAAGAGACATCTGTTCATTGAAATAAACTTCTACTTTGTGAGCTGTCAAGAAAAGATTAAAGTTTGTGCAGATCATACACCACATTACCAAAACAATGAAGAGTTTATCCTCTAGTTTCGTGAAGAAAAACTTGCAAAAGAATATTTGATATGTTTACTTCTTATTTTGTAAATTAGCTTTTGTCTGTGTGCTTGTCTTCTATAGGCTTTCTTACAAAATGAAAAATATATCTTGTATAATTAACATATGAAGCTGTTGCTACTTGATTAAGCTCTGTAATTACAAAATTGAGGAGAAAAAAGACAATAGTGAAACAGTTTCTTTATTTTCGTTAATTCCGTAAATCTTGTGTAAATTTCCAAATGAGTCGGAAAGATTATCTTCTAGTATCACAAGAAATTTTTGAAAATGAAAATAAATAAATTTTTCCACAAAGAAAGGGCTTCAATTCTGTCTACTAAGGACACGGATATGAAAATATCTAATGCAAAAGTTTTACCTCGGATATCACCCCATTCCTGTTAACGATAGTAGAACGAAATTTTTTAAATTGTTAACATTTTTGTGAACACTATTGAATAATACCTATTAATATGTTGATGGATATTAGAAGTTATTTCTGAATTCCCTCTGTTTATAAAATTCTACACAATATCTATTGCTGTGAAATGTAAGAAATTAGCTCATTGAGAAGATTAGATATTTTCCCACTTAATAATTGAAAAAAAAGTTTTCTTAGAAAAAAAAAGCACCTCCAGTTACATGATTGCAACACATGCTTTGTAACATAGGTAAACTATTGCTAGAAATTGTAGCTTAAATATAATTCAACAGTGAAGTAAATCTTGATAGTTTTTTTATATAATTCACTTTCTAAATACAAGTTTCTTATGTTTTATCACTAATTCACTTTTTATGATCTTTGTATGAACAGCATGCTTACCACATCAATGGCAGTGTAACTTTGGTACATGTATAAATCAAGATTTGCGATGTAATGGACGGGTAGACTGCCCAGATGACAACTCGGATGAAAAAGATTGTCGTAAGTTCAAATGATTCCTGGTTGTCTCTTCTAAGATAGTTGTGTGTTATGCATACCTTTTAACAATGTAACCTGATTTGTTCTCCAGATTTTTAGAATAGCAGGTAATCTTCACTCATGGTGTCTTGTCTTCTCAATAGCATAGTCTTCCATTATTATTAAATAAAAACTTTCACTCCACCTGCAGCTGTGTTACAATTTCCACATATTAAATTCTTCTACTTAAAAAATAACATTATAATAATTTTAATGTATTCTAGTCTGATAGGTTTTCTTACCTTGTGTACAAGTAATATGAGAGAGAGAGAAAAGTCATTCTACTGCAAAGTAAGGGAGGTATGGGAGATATTTCTCTGTTCTTTAGGGACATGAATCTTGATTATCAAGCATAACTGTCTGTTATGACAGCGGAAGTCACGTGACGCTGGTAACACGTCATGTGCTTCTAGAACATTCATGTCCCTTTGTGAAGTCTTGAGTGTTTACTAGATATGCGGTATTCTTGTATATAAGACCACCAAGAAGTGACGGCAACAATGTAATTGAACTGTAGACAGAGAGAGACTGACAATTGAGTCGAGCACGTGAGTCATTCATTGTGAATTATAGCTTTTGTTATAGCATGACTGTGGAAATTAAGTGTATTGCAAAGTTGTATTCAGAAAGAATAAACTAGTTTTATTTAAGAAAGGACTTGTGTCGCTAAAGTTTCATCAGAAAGAAATTATACGGGAAATTAACTAACGACCAGAGACATAACATGTCATATATAGCAGCTATATCAATTCTCACTGGCCTTTTAGAGATTAAATCCTTACGTTTCAGAGGTATCTGGGGACATTATGTTCCCACAAGTTAAACAAGAACCGAAAATCTTAAAAATAGTATGTAGGTGTGTGTGTGTGTGTGTTATGAAATTCACAAACTATTGAGGAGTAAATCTAACAGTTGCAACTTACCACATATCACTAATATGCTAAAATTGAAGATATAGAATATTATGAATATGTATGGGCAATGTAATTTTACATCTGAAAAGTTAACATAAAAGCTATAAAAAAATTAAGTAAAAATACTTGTTTTTAAATTATATAACAATAAAGCTACAATATACTAAATTTTACTTACATTCTCCCATCAGTACTTATTGACAGCAATGTATTTAAGGTTTTACTAACACAATTATATAATTGTACTTTACTTATTTTTGGGAAATTATTTAAACATTTTTAGACTTAAAAATTTTATATATCCAAGTATTTGACTAGATTCCCTTTAGAAAAGAAACTTGTATTTCATATCTACAAAATGGTTTTGGGCATGTGGTTTATTAACAAACACATAATGGGCCACAGTTGCTTTCATCAAGTAAGCTTAAAATTTCAGTTAGTACTTTAATTTTATTCAGTAAATTTCATTAAATTTCATTGTGACTACTTCTTACATAAAATGTTTTTAAAAAGATTAACAGGGAACAGTAGTGGTGAAAGTCATTCTGTATAAATTGTTCTACAGAAAATGGTTTAGTACATTAAGCTATAATCTTGCTAATTGCTTTGTTACTTTGTTAAATTCAGGAATTCTTGTTTATTGGTATTTCTTTCCATTAATGGATTTTTTCACAATTTTAAACGTTATCATTTTGGTTTTGTTTTCTGTTAAGAACTAGTTAATCCAGAATTGAAACTTTGATGTTTTCACATCACTAGAGTTCAAGTTAGGTTTAACTTTACAACATGTGGGTGTGTCAATTCAATGCATCTTGTTGTATGGTTTGTTTTATTGCATTACAAAAAGAAACTACTAAATGAAATATTTTTAAGTTTCAGAATAAATTTCTACAGGTTGTGTATCTTCTGAAAATACAATATTTTTATATGAGATATTTGTATGAAGTCACTGCATAACATGAAATGTACCTAAAAAGTTTTTTATAAAACTAAATTTTATCATTGTTTTGGTTATAAAACAAAGGAGTTTCAGTGTTTGCAGTCACTGGTGTGCAATAACAAATAGCTCTTTTTATGATACTGGAAGTATAGACGAGCCAACTCTTAAGTTGGTAATCAGATGTTTTAATTTAATATACAGTAATAAGTTTTAAAACACTTCCAGGAATTTTCTTTGTCCATTGAGGCAACTACTTAGGCCAGTTATACCTAATGTAAACATGTCTCACACAGTATCATTGTATATGAAACGAAATTTGATGTGGTTGAGTGGAAAATGATGTAACTAAGCCTACCCCATTCTGTGCTTCAAAATACATTTATTTTATCTTACTTGCAACATAATAAAATGAGGACTAATTGTTGGTATTTTTTCCTCTTGCAACCAAGCTAAGCTTTTATCACCTTGTTCTGATCTCTGCTGAACTGGAAGATGTATTAATTTATATATTAAAAAGAACAGGATTTTACAACTGCCATGAAGTCAATGACTTTTGCTGGAGAAACTTGTTTATAATCAATTATATTTGTCAAAAGAGAAAAGTATTATTAAGTTTATTGTATTTTTAAAAACTATATTCTTTATTTTGTTCCTTTGGATTTTTTCCAAGCAGAATACTGTGTAATAGCACTTCAATGACACTATATTCTGCTATGTCTTTTGTTGATGACACATTTTGCTCAATCACACCTTGAAAACCAGTGTTTGGAAACTGATTGGCTAAAATTGATAAATCTACAATTTTATGGAAGTTACGTGGCACTATTTTTTTCAAAAGTATTTCAACTTTCTTTGTAGGGGGCTATAATTACTGTATTATGCTCAGAACAAATTTAGGAAATTCACAAATAGTAATGTTTTAATTCATAGTGTGCTGAAACGATCCAAAATCAAATTTTCAGTTCATTTATTTATCTTATATAAATAAAGTAAATAATACTTTTTTATTGAATACATTTAAACTTGGAATTGTATATTTTGTAAATTTAAATAATAATGATGCAAGGTGTTGCAGTTTTGCCTGTGAGGTGAGATACACCAATTAGGGCATGAAACATCTAGTTTGTTTATTTAGATTGCAATTGTACCCATAGAAGACCACTTAATCATCACTGTATTATTTTATAATCAAGTTTTGCTTGAAGCAGTCAACCTTCTTTAATTCAACTACTTTCTTTGAACTGTCACATGTTGCTATTTTGTGTAATTAGTTTTTGCTACAGAAATAATCTCAGAAATAATCACCTCTGAACTAATTTGTTTGTCCACTGTCACTTTCTAATATATCTGTAGTAATTCCTAAAACCCATTAAACCATGTCATGTAGGAATTGGTTTGGTTAGAACTATTATGAATGTGTCAGTATGTGTATGCATTTTAGCTTGTTCATCATCTATATAAAATACTCTTTCAACACACTGTAGTAAATTAAAGATGACCATGCATTTGTTTTTATAACAAAAGTTACAGAAATGTCAATAGTGACAATATAGTATTTTGTGATATTTTATAAAGTTACATCTTGAATCTGTTATTTCTGTGAAGAAAGTGAGGTGATCCTAAAAAAAAAAAAAGTTCAAACTCTAAATCTATATAATGCTTTTCTTTAATTCAAAATGTTCGTAGTTGAAGGTTATGATGTTTCCAAAGTCACATAGAATTCATGGTCATGAAAATTAGGTCAAGATAGCTTACAATAACTAACATTGAAGATCTGCATTTATTCAAATGCTAATTGTTATTTTTGCTTAATGTAGTAAATTTGAAACATGTAAAACCATAAATACTAATAAAAGTTAAACTTGCAAGTAAGTAATAACTATATAAACCATTACATTTCATTTTGTGATTTTTTTTATTATTACCAAACTTACTCAAATTATCCTACTTCTTGTGACTTCAGCCACAAGTGAATTATTCAATTAATTATCGTTTTTGTGTTGTCAAATGTTAAGTTTCATCAACACCAAGTCAATAGTTGAATTGTTACATGTTGCCAAATTTTGAATTCCTTCAACTATGACCCAGAGTTTCAGTTTTTTTTATTTGTTTCCATATTACAAAGTTTGGTTTTATTTCACCTTAAGTCAATAGCTCAGTTACTTCACTTTTTTCTTATTGCTAAGCTTTTTTTTTATTTGTATTCAACCTCTTGTCAATAATTTGGTTGTTTCATTCTTTCTTTGTCACTTGACCTTGTTATGATTTGATGTTTTATTTCTTATATTGTGCTAGCCAAATCTTTCCATCATACTGTAGGGCTACATCAGCTTTTGTGGTTGATCTTATTTTGAAATTTCAGAATGTATTTTTCTTATGATTTTGATATTACTGAGCTATAGACCACCCACTAGTTGCTACAGTATTTTTCTCTATCTTTCTGCTGTGATGTTTCTTTAGCTAACTTTTGATTTTTATATATATAGACACACACACAGTTAATCAAATTATTTTAGCATATTCAGTACCTCAGCTGTTAATGCAAGTGCTTTCTACTCTCTATCTTGTGCTACAAAATTAATACTCTGGTATTTTCTACTTTCACTTGCATCTGTTCTTGATTCATTTCACGACTTCTTTTACAACACTTGGGTATTTTACTGTCAGAGAAGTAGGAAAAATTTAATGACTCTTTGCACTATTATTACTTTATCTGTTTATACCCTCCAACAAATACAAAGTACTTTTTATTTAGATCAGGTTGTTTAAGTAGTACTTCATAGTGCTGGAACATTTCTTTTATTGAAGATGATGAAAGCCATTTAACAAAACTGTAGGCCCTGTGTATGGAGGAAACTTGTTATTATTTCATTAAAACTTACTAATAAAACCAGAAAACGTTACTGCAGCAACACAGTTTCTACTCCCTTAATGTAATTGCGACTATTGTTTTTGAAAACAATCCAAGAGAACCTGCACCATTGAGTCTTAGTTTATCATTCAGCACATATTGTCATAATATTATATATCAACAAACTTGCTTGAAATAAATATTGTTCTGATCTTTTTCTTTTTATCTCCAGCGTACAACGCTTTTAAACTAGCATACTCAGTTTTTTATTACTTCTATATACTATTCACATGGTCTTGTTCTTCTGTGAACTTTGTATTTTATTGAATATCTTATAACATTTGGTTTAGCTTACCTGTGGGACCTTTAATGTAAGATCTTTGGAGTGTATACAGTTTGAACTGCATTGTTTATTTCATTTCTTGTTAATTAATTACTTCTTGAATGAAATGTCAAATATGACTTGATTCACTGCCCAGTCCTTCTCTTATTTTTTTACAAGTTTTTATTTTCCAAAACAACTCCAAACAATGAACTGGATGCTTTCTAATTGTTCAAAGTAATATTTTTTCCAGAATTTAAGCAGACATCAATCTTTCATAGTGATATGCAGTTTAGGTTTGTGTGGTTAAGTCATCTTTGTTCACTTCTTGTTGTATCATTGTGTTCAGTGACATTCAATTCCTAAATTAATGACGGCAATACTTAATGTTTAGAACTTGCTTTAGTGAGAATAATATAAAAATAATTTACCTGAAAAATGCGTGCGTAAACTTTTTTATAAGTCGTTTTAAGAAGAATCTACATCCTTGATCTATAATTTGCCATTCATTACCACTTTCATATGTTCTAAGTATTTTTCATCCACAATTGATTGTGTTTTTTTTTTTGTTTATCTTGCTAAACTACTAAACCCAAATTTATTTATTGAGATATCTCTAGTTTGTATTTGGGCTTCATCTTTTTCTCAATGCACAGTTCTTTGATTTTGGAATATTGTGTAAATTTCTTTTCACATGCATATACAATCATCACTAGAAAACTATTTGTTTTTAAAATGAAATATTTTTGAGAATTTGCATGTTTTGTGCATGTGAGACATTGATTGGGTTTTTTTACAACTATATTAAAAGTCTAAAGAAATTCTATTTTCATCATTAATATGATAATGTGCACAATTTTTTCAGCACAAGAATGTTCCAGAGATGAGTTCCGATGTGGAGATGGATCATGTATATCTAGTACGTTAAGATGTGACAGAAAGTATGATTGTGCTGATGGAGCAGATGAAGTTGATTGTTGTAAGTAGAGCTTCATATATTTGAAACATATTTTATGTTAACTGGTTTCATATGTGTATAGATTTTCTTCACTGTTTGTGTATAGACTCAAGCAGGATAACTATCATAGGGGAGTATAAATGGGAAAACTTGAGTTTTGGTGGGTATTAACCTAGGGATTATTTTAACAGTATTGAAACTATATCTGTTGATATGAACTACAATTCTTAGGTTATTTAAGAACACTGAAATAGAATATAAAATGACACAACATTAGTTGCATATGTTTTGTTTTATATGCTCTTATATTGGTTATTTTATCAAACAGTTTTTTGCCATTGTTATTCTTTTGGTATATAATGGCAGTATTAAGCACATATGGCAAATGAAATATAAAAACAAGTCTGTGTTTCAAAACTAAATATCTCTATACTATTAAGAAAGAAAAAAAAAAATTCTGTTACAGCTTTATCACTTTGATAATGATTAACGTAGGCCTGACATTTAATATGTTAGAGTAAGACTAACAGTAGAAAAATAGATAAAAATAATAATTTATTCTGTCAAAGCTTGGTTCTAAAGTAATTGAATCAGCCTGAGTGCACTTTGACAAAAGAAACAGAGGATCTTCAGAAGAAAGAAGACCAAATGATTACTGTGAATTATACATAGAATACTAATGTAATAAAAAATATGGAAAGGTAGTTCGGATTGTCAACTGAAATTCTAAAGAAATTGAAGATGTCTAAGTGGACTTTTGAGAAGAAGAAGAAGAAGAAAACCATATAGTGTTTATGATATGCCTATAATCTTTGTCTCTCTCATATATATTATTTTCATAAGTTGAGTGCGTGCTGTTCATTTATCATTGAATTTATTGCCAACAAGTCACAGACACCTACTGCAGAAGAATCCTAAGCTCAACAACAACAACACAATTCTGAGCAAATATTTAGAACAATGGAATTGGAACATAATTAGCATATAAATAATAAAAGATTTCTAATATAAAACAAATTACTTATCATTTCATACTTCTGGTACTCTCTGTGTATTATGTTTAACAGATGTTAAAAAGGAAGTTTCATAAACTTCTATTATTTATCAAAGTGATAAAGCTGTAACAAATAATTTTTTCTTTCTTAATAGTATAGTGATTTTTGGTTCCTTAGGTAAATACTATTTCAGTACTAAACCAGTATCTAAAACGTAATTAGCATGTCAAAATAATAATGCTGAATTTTTTTTATATTATACATAGTAGTAGTATTTAGTAAGTAAGTTGAATAAGATTGGAAATAGTATTTACCCAAGGAATACTTTGTTTGTTACAATAATCTGGATGAATAACTACTTTACTCTTTTTAGCACGAGAATGTTCTAGAGATGAGTTCCGTTGTGGAGATGGATCATGTATACGTAGTACACTAAGGTGTGACAGAAAGTATGACTGTGCTGATGGATCTGATGAAGTTGGTTGTTGTAAGTAGCCTCATGTGCGTGAAATAAAAGTTGTGTAATAGTCTGCATAAAATGTTTTCTTCACAAAATTATTAGTGTATCAGTTTTCTTCATTACTTATTTCCTTGTTGTCTTAAAGGAATAGTGGCATGATGCATATTTTTGATCCATGAAATAGAATTGGAATCTGTATAGTTGAACGAGATGTAAACCTACGGAACTTCAGGTACTTATTTAAAGTGTTGAATACTATATCAGTTGGTGGTTGTTTCAAACTGCTAGTTTCTTTTAAAATAAGTGATAAAACAGAGGCTACTTTGGAAAGAGTATAAAGATATACAATATATACAATTGTAAATAATGATTTTAACAAATGCTGATGATAAACCTGTAAAGAGGCTACTTGTAGATGTACAAATCCATTATTTTAAGTAATTGAGAATAAGAATAATCCATTTAGTCCTTAATTTTACTTGGTAGCTATATCCTTGGAAGATCATTGGGATAGAGGTCATAATATTTTTTTTCCAGTTTTTTCTTTTTTAGGGCATTCTTTTGTTCATAAATATTTATTACATTCACTACAAAAACTGAAGATCATTCGCCATAAAAGAAAACATTAAGTTTGTGCATTAATGATAGTAAGTAACTACTTTTTTTTTTTCTCTTCAGTACAAGAATGTTCCAGAAATGAATTCCGATGTGGAGATGGATTATGTATACCTAGTTCGTTAACATGTGATAGAAAGTATGATTGTGCTGATGGATCCGATGAAGTTGACTGCTGTAAGTACTCGTTATTTTAAAGCAAATAGAATATGACATAGTTTTGTACATTAAAAAAAAAAATCATGTCTATATAGCTTGATGTCAGTGTGTGTTTATCCTTGAATCACAAAACAGATAAATAAGTAAATAAACTTTAATTAGGGAGTGCCGTTAAATAGAGGTGTATTACAAACATTAGTGTTATTTCTGGTAGTAATTTCATGAATTATCATTCCAAAACATTAATAACGGCTATGAAAGTCACGTCAACAAATTACCACAATGAGCACGTGCTCAAAAGGACATGTACTTAGTTGTGGGTATACAAGACATTCTTAATTCAGCATACTTCATTTTCATTATTTTCAGCTTTTTCATCTTCAGCATTTTGGTTACTTGTTTATCTGATCAAGTATCTTGTTCCCATTCTTGGAGATCATTTTTTGATTCCATCTATAACATCTTGTTTTCAATATGAAGCATAAGATTTTTCATTTGTATGATTCCTATGAACAGGTGTTAAGCCTCCTCTAGTTAAGCTTTTTTGACAATCTGCTAATCCTCTTCCTCCTGATTATAGACTTGTGTTATGATCCATTGCGTGTTAAATAGAATTCCCAAATAAATTAAAATTCTTAAGTTTGGAGCCCTGACAAAACAGCCCAACTCACCCACAGTGTCAACAGTATATTAATATTCAAATTGAAGGTTAAGAACTGAGCATTCATGAAAAAATGCAAGATATGTAACTTACTATTTGAAATTATTTTCATATTTGGTTGCAATACAGTTTATTTTCTCTCTATTTTTACCACAACACCATTCTTTAAACAATTAGCATTTTATATGCATTTACCATCATCTGTAGAAGACTAGTAACTACTTTCCTTTTTTCTTTTCTCTTCAGTAAAAGAATGTTCCAGAGATGAGTTCCGATGTGGAGATGGATCATGTATACCTAGTTCGTTAAGATGTGATAGACAGTATGATTGTGTTGATGGAGCAGATGAAGTTGATTGTTGTAAGTAGAGCATCATATGTTTGAAACAAATATTTTGTTATATAATTTCTATAATGCTTATTGGAGTATAAAAAAAACATCTTAGTACTAGTAATAAACAACCTTATAACAGCAAAATTTATTTTTCTTTAGTTGGACAATCAATGCTTCATTTTTCAGGCATTTTAATTATGTACGTGTACATATTTTCCTCAGTGTGAAATATATGTATACATTCTTTACTGTCTTGAGGTCTTATTAAAAATTTAGTTGAACTACTTTATTATCATTTTTATACAAATAAACTTGGCATCAAAACATAGCTACTAATCCAAATTCTAATATTATGTAAGTTTCAAGTTCTTAATTTTATGAGGTAATATTAAAAAATAATTAATTTCTCCTAGTATGACAACTTGGAAATTTGCTCTCTAGGTCTTCCTTCTCTAATTTATTTGCCATCCCTCTGAGAAGTACAGAATTTAATGTAAATTAGTTGTTATCAGGCACTTGCTTATGTAGGGATGACTCGGATTGTTCATGGAAATGGTATTTTAAATACCTTCTTAGTGGATTATCAGAACTTTACAATATTATACAGTGTTTCCTTTTATAACAATATCTGTGTAATGACTGAGTCAAGTTCTGGAAATGTCTGTAAATATTATAGCAAAAAGTTTGAATTTCTTGTTCTTCTTTCTTCTACTTCTTTTTAATTACATGATAATTCAAAAACCAAAACAATGGTGTCAACCAATTTCACTGAGATTATGTAGTTTCAAACAAAGTATTTGCTATTGTAAGTATTATTAACTAGTAGCAATTAAAAAATAAAATCAAAATTATAGTGTAAACAATGTTATAATTTCCCCTTGAAGTTAGCTTTCTTACACACATTTAGTGTTCCTTTAAAAAACTTAAATACAGGATGAAACTGGAATTACCAGCCAATAATAGATAAAACAATAAATTTTACAGTATGAATCTCATTATATTTATAAATACAACCTTCCTCTGTCTATTAAACATTGCATTAATAAAGAAACAAATAAGTAAAGAAAAAACTTAAAGGAAATAAATATACACTACTCAATCACAATTGAGTTGATTGTTTGCATTGTTTTTGAAGGATTGATACTAGCCAACCCATACATTTACTTCCTTTTTTGAAAAGTTTTTTTTAAATCACATGTAATATTGTTATTACTCGGGCAAAGTATAATTTTTATAGCTCACAATCTTATTTGGTTACGAACCATAAAACTAGAAAATCATACTCTTTTTACCACACCCACCTCTCATTTCCTCTTTCACAAATTGCCAATAGTTCTCTTTGACATTTAATACTATATTATTTATAACCAACAGAAAGCCAAGGTGTTATTATCAAATGACATATTATATTAAATTGTTTTTTCTACAGAGAATTGTCTGTTTCACTTCCAGTTAAAACTTTATTCGTATGGGAAACGCATCAAAAAGATTAGTTAAATTTTTAATGGCTCTTGTTGCATGGTTAGAAAGGCAGACAAATTATGATAGTTATAGGACATTGGTTGGTTTTTAAGTGTTATTATTCTATGTTCTTAGGTGCATCAAAAAGATTAGCTGAATTTTTAATGGCTCTTGCTGCATGGTTAGAAAGGCAGACAAATTATGATAGTTATAGGACATTGGCTGGTTTTTAGTGTTATTATTCTATGTTCTTAGGTGCATCAAAAAGATTAGCTGAATTTTTAATGGCTCTTGCTGCATGGTTAGAAAGGCAGACAAATTATGATAGTTATAGGACATTGGCTGGTTTTTAAGTGTTATTATTCTATGTTCTTAGGTGCATCAAAAAGATTAGCTGAATTTTTAATGGCTCTTGCTGCATGCAGACAAATTATGATAGTTATAGGACATTGGCTGGTTTTTAAGTGTTATTATTCTATATTCTTAGGTGCATTATTTAATAAATTAAAAACTTGCATAGTGCAGTAGTACCATTAGTATAAGAAAGTAGGTTAAATTTCATCGACAGTTGACAGCAAAAAAATATCCAGGCTAAGTATTATATTTCTTATTTTTTCATGTGTATTATTTATTTATTATTATAAAAGTGACTGTTTAAGTTAGATTAGGTACTATAAATGATAATAATAATTTTTAAAGAGGTACCTTCATGAGTAGTGTGAGCTACACATTTGCCAAGTGTTTTACAACTTGTTTTGACAGGATTATTAGTTAGACAGGGTTCAAAGGACAATAAGAAAAAAAATTAAATAGAAATAGATGTATACTGTTATGAATTTTAAGATAATACTTAGGATAAACAAATGTAGTTTCAGGATACATTTGAAGTCATTCTAGAAAGAAAAAAGGGGAATTTATATTATATATAATAATGATGAATTACATTAAATTCTGTACTTCTCAGAGGGGGGTGATAAGTAAATTAGAGAAGAGGGAAGACCTGGAGAGCAAATGTCACAATTCTTGTAATAGGGTAGGTTGAGGATTTTAAAAAATATTTCCTTATAAAAGTAAGAACTTAAAACATATCTACAATATATATATATATATATATATATATATTTAAATTTGATATATTAACAACATTTTCAAGCCAAGTTTATTTGTATACCATGATAATAAAATAGTTTAAATTTTGAATGTAACTCTCTACAAAATTGTAACTTGTACTCTTTGACCTGCCCATTGCAAGTGTGTTAAGAAAGAAGAAAATTATTGTAGTTACAACTGTATAACACTTTTTGTATATAATAGAAACAGTTTATAACACTATGTATTCTTTAAATAAATAGTATTTCAATACTGAACAAGTAATTAAAACAGTGGAATTGGAACATAAGCATATAAATTATTGAAGGATCTCTCCTGTGAAACTTGTAAATTATCTGTAATTTTGTTAAATGTGTACTTAGAATACTTTGTTTGTTACAATAATTTGAAAGAAAAACTAATTTACTCTTTTTCAGTGCGAGAATGTTCTGGAGATGAGTTCCGTTGTGGAGATGGATCATGTATACGTAGTACATTAAGATGTGACAGAAAGTATGACTGTGCTGATGGATCTGATGAAGTTGGTTGTTGTAAGTAGCCTCATTGTTTTTTTTATCAGAAGTTTTATGTAATAGTTTCCACGTTTTCTTTACAAAGTTATTTATGTATCAGTTTTCTTCATTGTTTATTTGTCTGTACCTTTACAGGAGTGATGACATAATGGGTTTTTCTGATTTGTGAAATGGAATTTAATCAGTGAGATTTTAGACTTATATATATTTGTTTAATATGCTCATCAGTGATTAGTGTTTGGTTCAAACTATTAATCAAGTACAAGTTATAAAGAGAAATAGATCATGTTTCAAATAGATTATACAGTAGAACAATATATAATAACTGCAAATGACTATCCTAAATCTCTTATAAGCTTTTATCTATATTTCATTTATGAATTTTATTTAAAAGGAATAATAGTTATCACTTTGAATTTAGGATCTGAAATGTACAGCATGAACAATGTACATAATGTACTCAAACAAGTTTCATCATTTATAAGAGAGCAAAGAGAACTTGCAAACATTGTGAAACAGTGATCATAAAATTAATAAAATTTTCATACAGTTTGAGATTATTCTATAAAGTATTCATTATATTTCCTTTGACAACTACATGTACAGAAATGAGATAAACTTCACAATAAAAATAAATAAATAAACTTTTAAATTCTTAATTTTTGGTGCTACTCTGTAAAATTCAAATTTAAATTATTATTTTTTCTTTTAGTACAAGAATGCTCCAGAGATGAGTTCAAATGTGGAGATGGATCATGTATACCTAGTACATTAAGATGTGATAGAAAATATGATTGTGTTGATGGAGCAGACGAAGTTGATTGTTGTAAGTAGAACTAGTCAACTTATCAATATCATTGACTACCTATGAGCAGAAATTACAGTGATTACCGTGTTGTATACTGATTAATCAAAATTAGTGTTTCAAATTTTTACAATTTTTTATTATTCTAACTGTCCAAATAATTGAAATTTTGTTACTATCTTTGTTTGCTGTTATAATGGACTATCTTTGCTCTCCCTAATTTTAGCCCTCTTGTTCTCTTTTTACTTTTGTGATTTGGAGGGGGGGGGGTCTCCTGATCCTAGGGTCTTGGATTAGATTACTATTGCCACCAAACTTGCTTAATTTGTTTTTGTCATGACAAAGGTGCTGAGACTATCTGCCACTGTTGCTAATTTTGATCTGCTGATTACAGGGAGTGCAACTGGCTGTTAGCACCAGCCACGAACTTTTTACCTGTACATAGTATGGCTTGAGGAGCATTGTATTATACACTGTACTAATAGATAAATCAAATTTAATTTATCAGTAGATCTGTCAGTTTATTGATTGGTAAGTACTACCAGCTTCAACCGTAAGATATCCCCACCCCTTTTTGATGCATATATAATATTACATTTATAAAGAATGGGAAATTTCCAATTTACTTGTATGATTTGATAACAAAATGTTTGCATCAAATCACAAAACATGTAAGTAGGGAAATGAATTTTAATTTGGGTATGTCACTAATTACAGATTGTGTAGTTTCAAAGTCATAATTATTTGAAGTTTACTGATGTTCATAATATTAACAAGATTCCATTTGAGTTTTTTGAAATACCTGTATAGTGATATAATTTTAGAGGACAAGGTATATGTTCTTCGTAATATCACCCAGTCTTTCTCCCACTACTCTTATTAATTATCATTCTCAAAAACTTGAGATTATGAAATTTTTAGCAGCAGATTACCATAATTAATGCATAAAGAAGAAATATATTATGTTTTATGTTTATAGAACATATTTAATTTAACATGCCCCATTTAATTCACCAAGGTTTGTCAGTCCATCTTTTTAGAACAACTTGCTTGTTACAGTCATTGTTCCATGATTATTCTTCAACATATGTTTTTTCTCTAATTTTACTAGTACAGTGAGCTTAGGAATCAGTTTGAGTCTTTAGAAGCTGCTGTGCTTCGCAAGATATTATTCAACACAATTAACTCTCTTGCTTCAGAACCAACGGAATCAACCAACTTCATGGCCCCAAATTTACTTTTATAATTTCTCTACAGTAACTTCTAATATGTTTTGTGTATTTTCACGAAAGTTTGCAAGATTTCAGTAATTAAGTCATTTGTAGACAAAAGTCAGAATTTTTAATGAAGTATTTTCACTAAAAATTTCTCCATCAATATATGGAGTCAAAGTGTTGACTGCTCCAATTGCAAAATGATTTTCGTTTTAAGATTATAAATACTTTTTCTTCATCTAAAAAAGTCTTGTTTTATTTGCATAATCTCTAAAACATCCTAAATAAATTTCAAATGTTTTCAGTGAAATTTGATATTTTATCAGTTATTTTCTCCACCATAACATTATACAAGGTTGGTCAAAAAAAAATCTAAATTACCCCTTTTTTCCTTTCTAAAATGACTTCAAATTGTAACACAAAGCTACATTTGTTTATCCTAAATAGCTTTAAACTTATAACAGTATACATCTGTCTTTATTTAAATTTATTGTTTTATTGCACTTTGAACCTTGTCTAGATAATATTCCCACCATTAAATTTGTAAATCACTTGGCAAACATGAAGTTCATGTTACCCTAATGAATTTCATAACACACAAATTACTCATGAGTTGCTTGCAAGCATATCTCATCAAAAATGGTTATTCTTCATTTTACCTAATCTAACCGTATCTAAAGTGAATAGTTTCTAATTTTTATATTTTAGTTATTTTTATAATAATAAAAAAAGAATACACATGAAAAACAAGTAATATAGCACTTACCTGAGTCTTTCTTTTTCGCTGTTGTTTGTCACTAAAATGTTACTCTACTTTTTTTATACTAATGGTACTACTGCACTAAATATGATTTTATTTGATTAAATAATGCACCAAAGAACACAGAATAATAACCTGCAAAAAGCAGACAATGTACCATAACTATTGCAATTTTTGTGGCTTTCTAACTACGTGACAAGAGCCGTTAAAAGTCAGCTAAGCTCATCTATATGAGAATAAAGTTTGAATTGGAAGTAAAGTAGACAATTGTCAGTACAGAAAACAATATAATAGGTCATTTGATAGATTAAAACCTTGGCTTTCTATTGGTTATCAATAATATAGTACTACATGTCTGAGAGAACTATTGGCAATTTGTGAAAGAGAGGATATGACTGGTGGGTGTGGCAAGAGGGATCTGATTTTCTAGTTTGTGTCTTTGTAATGAAGTAAGATTGGCTATAAAATATGCTTTGCCTGAATAATAATAAAATTATTATGAGTAATGTACATTAAATTCTGTTTGGGAGGAGTGGTAAATAAATTTGAAAAGAGGGGTACTTTTGTGTGGGGTGGTAAATATACACAGCACATCAATATGAGAATAAAGTTTAGACTGGAGGTAAAACAAGCAATTCTCTGTAGAGAGAACAATGTAATATGTTATAACATTTGATAGATTAAAACTTTGGCTTTCTATAGGTTATAAATAATATAGTATAAAATGTCAGAGAGAACTATTGGAAATTTGTAAAAGAGAGGATGTGACAGGTGGGTGTGGCTAGAGGGATCTGATTTTGTAGTTTATGGCTCTGTAAACAAATATGATTGAAGGCTATAAAAATTGTTTTGCCTGAGCAATGACAACATTTTCTTGAGTAATTTACATTAAATTCCGTACTTCATGAATTGATGGTAAATAAATTGGAGAGGAGGAATGCCTAAGGAGCAAGTCTCACAATTCTCATATAGTTGAAATTCAGAATTTTTTTTATATTGCTTTATAAAATTAATAATTAAAATTTGTATAATATTAAAATTTGGATTATTCACTACCTTTTATACTAAGTTTCTTAGTATACCATGGTAAGAAAGTAGTTTAATTAAATTTTGATGCAACTCACTAAAATCTTGTGATATGTGCAGAAAAATATGCCTGTAGCAAAAGTGTTAAGAAATATGCCTGTAGCAAAAGTGTTAAGAAATATGCCTGTAGCGAAAGTGTTAAGAAATATGCCTGTAGCGAAAGTGTGAAGAAATATGCCTGTAGCGAAAGTGTTAAGAAATATGCCTGTAGCGAAAGTGTTAAGAAATATGCCTGTAGCGAAAGTGTTAAGAAATATGCCTGTAGCGAAAGTGTTAAAAGCTTTGATTTTTGCACAAATATCTTCTTCTAAATAAGCTTTAGTTTTTCTTCTGTTATGATTCAAGACTTGTAATATATTACTTTTTTCACAAATGTTGACTTTTTATCTTTCATTCTGAATACTAACTCAATGTGCATGGTGGGGGTTAAAGCATCCATCTTTTAAAGAGTCGTTCAACATGGTATTATGTATTTGATAGCAAAGTTTTCAAATATTTATTTTACCCTACTTTGATGACTTAGACAGTTTGTGGAAGAGGAGAGTAAATACCAGTTACAATGTACAGGAATAATTACTATAGATATGCATTTTGGATGTTCTAGAGGTTATACAATTTAGATGTGTAAATCGTACAATAGACAAAAGGATTTTTATTCTTGACATTAACATCACCTTGCACTTCAACTTGTCAGAGTCTGAATGACATCAGTTCATAAACATATCTTGTGTGCAAACACTTTTGTAACATGTCAGTTTTTTTTCTATAACAGAATCCTACATATTACTAAAGGCACGAGACATTTTGTGTAGATCTGCATAGTAAATTTAGAATTATAGTTAACATTCCTTCTCCATTACAAATTTGGTCCAATGGGCTTTCAGTTAATATACTTCTGACATAATGGATGAGGTAGGTTGAATTGTTAAGGCTAACAAATTTCATATTTAACATTTTTATATTTCTGATATTTGGGGGAGTTCTATTTAACACTTCATGGTCAAATACAAATATTTACTTATTATCTGGCTAAACTGGTAAATATTTTATCCAATAGTTTACTTAGACTACTATATGCTGTTCATGTATCCTCAATCTTTCAAAAACTATCTTATTGAATGCCTTATAACATTTGTTGAACATACCTGTGGGACCTTCAGTGCATGTTTGTTATATCACTTGAATACGTACTTGATTATTTTGAGTTGCACTGTTTATTTCATTCCTTAATAATTAATTCCTTCTTGAATGATGGGTATGATGTTACTTTTTATCTAACACCGAGTCCTCCCTTTACCTTTGGCCAAGTTTTTATTTTCCAATATAACCTGGAACAAAACTCCAGTCATTAAATGTAATGTTTTTTCCACAAACTTGTGCCAATATTTCACAGTTGGCAGTTCTTCTGACTTGGGTAGTCTAGTCATGTTTGTTCACTCCTTATTGTATCATGGTGTTCAGTAACATTCAACAACTAAAGTAATAACTGCAATACTTTATGCCTAGAAGTTCCTTCAGTAAGTTGTAAGATAAATATAATACACCAATACAAATGTGCATAAACTTTTTTTTATTAATATAAGCTTTCAAAGAAGCTGCATCTTTAATGTTTTTTAGCACTTCTTTACTACTCCCATACTTGCTTAATATTATTCATCTACAAACTAGTCTGAAATATCAGTTTTTTTCAAGTATGTATTATGCATTGTATTTTTAAAACTAGTTCACTTTGAGAGTTTGTGTGTTTTATACATGTTATCTTAATGAAATCTGTTTTAAACAGATAACTAGACATATACGAGGCCTGTGAGAAAAGTATCCGAC